TGCCTCTGACACAAGCTCCTCAGCCTGCCTTGTTCCACTGCTGGGCCGCCAGAAGAATAGTGGTGCTTATGCTGAAAGCCTGTTATTTGTGTGCGCGCAAAAAAGGGAGAGGAGAGAGTGCTCTGGCTGGTCCCGTGCGTGTTTGCTCACACAGCATACTGGCATCTCCTTTTAACAACCTCCTTTGTCAGTCACTGAGATTGTCGTAGATTGCGTGAGCACAGCAGATCTGCTGTACCTCGACAGTGTATGTATGAAGAAATTTTTCCGTGTGTGTGTGTGTGAGCGTGCGTGTGCTGGCCAGATGGAAGTGCTTATTGAGTGTTGGTGTACTTGCTGGCAAATCTGAAAATGAGAAAGGGAAAGATGCAGAGTGGAAAAGCCTGGCCTTCAGAACCATCATGTTTCTCTGTGTTTATGCGCCTCCCCTGCTCTAATCTTATCATGTCTGAGGAGAAGATTACTCTTGCCGATCCCTCCGCTGTCTTCAAATGCCACAATCAGCCTTTTGTTCTTGCGCTTGCGGGGATGAGGTGAACACTCCCTCGTCTTTTCTGCCCTGTGTGCCATTTCTGAGCCGTGCCTGTCAATGTCACGGCACTGCTAGCACTGATCCAGTTCACCCAAGTCTCCTTTTGCCCCTGTGATGGCAGCTAAAAGCTAGCTAAGCTCTTAGCCAGCTAGCATGGCTCAACTGCTTTACATTCCTTGCTAACACCAAGAAATGTGGCTGCCATGCTTGTGTTTTTGACCTCCCCCTCCTTCTGCACTGCCTTTGTGTTCAGGTTCTTGCTACTATTTTTTTCATTTCAGTTTGGTCCTGTATTCAATTCATCAACTTGTAAAGTTGTAGTAGCATTTTTCTTCAACATGCCAGATTTTGCTCTCTACCATAGCAATTTCTATACTGAGTTGGTGATGTTTTAAACAATTTGTCATTTAATCTCAATACATACTAAAAGGCAAGTGAATTTCACATAAACACCAATTACATAAGTGTTGATTTTAGTTATGTATCACAGGGAAATGAGTTCTGTAAAGGCATTGTTTTCCTTGTTTGACTTCTGGATGCCATCACTCAGGCACTGTCAGGGATCCTGCTGCTGATGTCACGGTCAGGGGGAGGGGCCTGCTGGAGGGGGGTCAGTGCAGGGTGAGCAGAGGAAGAGGAGAGTGTTTGAAAAGCAGAGAAAATAAACCTTGGTTTCCTGTTAACGAGGTGCACTGGGGCCCTGTCGTGTGGGACCACTGCTCTGGTTCTGTTTAAGCTCTACTGTTACAAAGCAGAGGGGAGGGGGGGTTACAGGTTGTAACAACGCACTTCAGTTTGGCCACAGCTTAGATTTACTAATTCCAGCTTTCAAACACTTAATGTCACAGGGACAACTTTGATTTGTAAGACAGACTTACAGTGGTTGTGATGCAGAGGGGTGGCAGTTTATATTTTTTTTATTAAAGAAACAACACTCAAGTCATAATAATCAGTCCTGGAATTCAGTTAATACAATTTCCTTCGTCCTTTGTTTGGCTGTTGAAATTATGTCTCGTACATGGTATTAAATTTTTCTGGACCAATAATCTCTGTGTTATGTGACTTCATACCTGACAACATGAAGGCATCTGCACTTATTTTATTGACCCAACTGGCCAGTAACCGCTGCATGAGCCTCGTCTGTTCATCTCATCCTTATTAACAGAGTGATAAATGCCTTTGTCTTTGCAGATAACTTTAATTCATATTTCAAAGAGGTAGACTCATAAATGCTTCCCTCTTATCTCCTGCAAATGCCTGTTGCAGAGCTCTAATCCAGCCCTGGTGTGTGAGTGTGTGCCAGAGAATGCTCGTAGAGGGAGGGCTGTCGCCACCATTGTCCTCAGGCTCTGAGCATGACTTTCAGATTTATATCTCTCCAATGAATGGGAAGGGAAGCCTTGTCTTGTACCCTTGAGGGATTTACTCAATACTCCATGAGAAGTTGTAATTTTCAGTCAAGGGAAATAAGACCATCTTGCTCCACCTACTTTAATTCAACTCTTCACCTCCAGTATTCCTCATGCATTTTCTTGCCGTTTCATTTCACCCTCTCAGTTGTGGGTTAGTAAGTCTTTTGGCCTCTCCGCGGTGAGCTGCGTTCCCAGGGTCGTCATGCAGGAGGAGGGAGGGAGGTGTGTGCTTTCGCCCCTGGCAGGACAAAGATGGCTGACAATGTGCAGGGGCTCGGCACTCGACAGGCAGCAAGGAATGTTTAATCAATTCAGCATTGTGGTCGCTGTGTTCTTCTCAATGGCGAGTTTGGAGGCAACGCCATACAATACAAGTGAGGGTTGGTTCATCACAATGTGTCAATCATCTCTTTTTCTCCTTGTTGCTAATGCTATCTACTCCTTTTTCCAACTGAGGATTGTGGTAATTGAAAGCCACGTTGCACACCCACACTACATGCCCCATATGTTGCACCTCCCTTTGGGTTATGCCTGGAAGCGTCTACACAAAGCAAAAACGGATGTATACTAAACATAATGAATCATATGTTTTAGATAGCTTGAGGAGTTTAAGACCTTTATCCTTCTGTCTTGCTCTATGGATTCCAGCTGTTTTGTAAGGGGAAAATTGACTATTTAATGGCTAGGCTACAGAAATATTATCTACACTCACATTAGCTGTCTGCAGTAAGTCAACCATCCAGTTTTTTGTTAGACCAAATAGACAGGAGGTGCTGCATGGCCGAGCTAAGTGGGGAGGGAAACAGGGGTGGGACATGACGTCATCCTTTACATTTCTCCACACTGGGCTGCAGTCTCACTCCATCAATGTGGCGCTCTGTCGATTCACAACCATCCGAAGCTGTAAATGCACGACCAGCCACCAGCTGCTGCTTCACACGTCCGAGCTCACTTAACCACTGCACAGGACAGGGGCGAAATGGGAAAAAAATGAAAGAGCTCCGGACAATTGGAAAGAACTACATTTTGAAGTGGATTGTGTGAGCATGTATTGGGCATTTACTGGTGTTTCAAAAAGTAAAACGATGTCATGTTGTTTGTTTCACAGTGGGGAAATTTCAGAGCTGCAACAAAGTTCAAAAACTCTAGGGATGTAAGATGCATTCGAAGGCAACATGAATATATATTACAATACTTTTGAAATATGTATGCTATACTTAATAGTATACAGTACATACATACATACTTTATAGTATATAATAGGTTAAAGAAATATGTTGATAGTTAAAGAGTAATAGATCCTTTATTCGTCCCACAGTGTTCCATCACTAACTTAAAAACAATAGGAATGAGGGGCACCCAACACAAGATAAGTGAATAATAAAAAAATAACCACACTACAAAGAATATGGGCTGCAAGTGGTTTTGTACAAGCGTGTGACTCAATATATTTTCACAACTTTACTACCAAGTTAAAAAAAAAAGCAAGAACTATTATCACACTACTTTTTTTTTACAAACATATTAAATATCATATGCTATCATGAACCTATACATAGCATGATTGAATCTCATTGTTTTATATTGAAGAGGTGCAACTATCTTGACAGCATTAATTGAGTGTTGTCCACGTTGCTTTGTTGACAGTTCAGATCTGTTAGTGTTATATATTGTCGTAAGCTTTAGTTTTGCTCTAACAATACAAACCATAAGACCAGGCTACAGTATATGAACCCTGTATATGTGTTGATTTGCTCAGCTGCATGTCTCCTGCTGCTCTCCCCAGTGACATAACAGAACAATGTCGCTGAAGGCTTTAAATATCTGCGCTCTGACCTCATCCTCACACACACAGTTACAGTTAAGCGCCTGGAAAGATCGGATGTTAAACTCTCTGTCTTGGATTACTTCTTGGATTTTCCCTCCCCTGGTTTTTCCATATGCTCAGTGTCAGCAGTGTGCAGGTGTGTGTCAGTTACTGCAGTGCATTGTGGTTAATAAAGACAGGAAAGGGGCCAATGGGAGTCTGTTCTTTCTGGGACGGCCAGTTGGGCTCCTGCAAAGGCTCAATAAATATTTTATAACATGAAATAAAAACAGTATTTTGCCCTTTTCATCCCTTGCTTCAGTCAAAGCTTCATTCCCTCAAACTCACTCCCTTCCTCTCTGCTGTTTCCTTGACTGCTCCTCGAAGTCCAGCTTTGTTCTCGCCTCAGTGCTGACACCTGCCGGACACAGAAAATAGTGCACCTTTCTATGACATGCACTTAATTAAAATAAACAGTAGGTGGCAGCAGTAAAGGGGAGCAGATCTTGTGTTGCATGTCTTCTGTCTGTTGTCTACAAAACGGTAACGCTTTGCAAACAATGACATAGAGAACAAGTCATTCCCTGCTGTTATAAGAATTATGAAATGATGAAGTTATAAAATAAAAATATGTCCTTCTATAATAAATATTGCATAATGAAAGTCGTAATATAACTGCTGCTGCTGTTACAAATGTTTTGGTGCTTGATACACGTTTGTTCATTATTACAATCCATGCATGCATAAAATGTAAAAGGATTAACAACACAAGCAAATTGTGAATAATTTGCGTGGTAGGTCTGTCATTTATTATTGACTTTTTATCCAGATCTCTTTTCATCATTCTTGTTGTCAAAGATGAAACAAAAATCTACTTAACGATTGCAATTTTATTAAAAATATATTTCACACCTTGTACCCTGTTTGGGTCATAACTAATAAAGTAGATTTCGTTTCATCACATAGGATTTTGATTTGGACATGGTGGATACTCATGTCTGCTTTGTTTGTTTCTCTTCCCTGACAAAGCCCCATCCCAGTGTTTGTTTTATGAAGGCTGTAAATGCTCTACAATCCCTTTTTAATTGACTTGGTCTCTCTGCGTGCGTTTGGCATCAGCCCTGTAAGTCATAAATGGCACGTCTGCACCGCGTCAGTGCTTTTGCCAAGAGCTGCTTTGTCGTTAACAAATAAAATAATGTGTGTTTGCCCGGGTCTGAGTTCTCTGCTGTTTTCTGTGTGTGTGCAGAGTAAACGGGACCATCTGCTGATGAATGTGAAATGGTACTATCGCCAGTCAGAGGTGCCCGACTCGGTATACCAACACCTGGTCCAGGACCGCAACAATGAGAACGGTAAGAAGTTATATTTACACTCGTGTTGACACAATACACATATTTTAGACGGTTTTAATACTAAGGGATAGGGGTTGTCGAAAGATAATACAATTAATAATTGTACATGCAATAATAATGCATTTGTAATACTAGTATCATAACTAATTTTCACAATTATAGAAACAGATTTTATTTACGCACAGACTTGTGCTATACTTTATAATACCTATCTTGTTTTGTGTGCTCTTACTGTTCTGTAACCTGTGATACGCTGAAATCTTCCCTGTGGAAAGAATAAAGGATCTCTTTTCTTATCTAAATGAAATTGTATAAATGGGACAGAATTTGAAATTTCTTCAGCATTTTTGAGAAAACCTTGTGGCTTCAAAATAAGTATTTAAGTTAATAATTACAAAATTAAAACAATACTCAATACCAATTTTAAAATAGAGTTTGAGATTTAGTATCTTGACATATATCAGTTTTGATATCACATTATTATTTGAAAATCTTCTGAAACTGCTCTTCTGAAATTGATCGTGTTAAGAGTAGCTTTCTAGCCATACATTTAAAATAAACAGAGATGTTTCCTTCTAAATGTATGTATTAAGTTATGATTTGCAATACTTTTGACAATCCTATTTTACATCATTTGTATCTGACATGCAAAACGTGTGGCCATTCCATTTCTATTAGTTTTGATAAGTTGATCATCCAGCTGGTGGTAACGGCCAAATCCAGACCACATCCGCTTTTAAATGTCAGAAGAAATATCATGACATTTCTACAATAATTGTGGATATTACTGATCCTGTGGTTCACTTTGAAAAAACACATATCTCCCTGCGAGTAAATCAAGGTTACATTATATACCAACCGTCCACATTGATAGATTATTCTCATAAAAGTCCAGCTTTTTCATGTGGTTAGAGTGGCTCTTGTTGTCTACACTCCTCTCTGCAGTCTGTCAGTGCACTTTGATACAAAGACATGAAGGACTTTCAGATTCAGTCCGGAGCCAGCACTCGTGTTGGTGCTTGAGGCCAGACAGAAGCCAAGTGTTAATAATTCGCTCAGTCATGTGACCCTCTCCACTCAGCTCCATCAACACTGCATGAAAGAACCACAACTTCATGACTTTTTTTTTTTACATTTATCACCTTTCGATACGTAAAAAGAACAAATGAAAAAAAAAAACATATGATCAAGTGGCACAATGTTGTCCATTGAGTGTGTGTACATTTACTAGTGATTTCACTGTATTTCTTCATTATACCTATACAACTATCCTTTATATCAACTTAGCGGTAAATAGGCTGCTTTCAAAACCAGGCTTTCTGCTGCAGTTATCACCCCAACCACATTTTCTCCCTCCAGATACTTCTCTATCTGCAGTCTGTCCTTGCAGCAGCAGCCCAGGATCATTAGAATAGATGTCAGGAGGCTGTACCTCTGTGACCACCGGGCAATACAACCATTTGTCAAGTGCAAATCTTGGCCCATTTTCCTATCCACTGATGCCCCAGATGGGTCATATTTTCTCCTGGGCAACCAAAGGAAATTGGCATTTTTGAACTATAGGCTGCATTAATGACCACTCCAAACCCACTTGTTACTTTGACCATTAATTATTCGAATAGCTAGTTAAACACGCCAATATCACTGTGAGAACCATCATGTTTTATGCATTAACATAAACCTTATTCCTTCTATTTCCAGATTCGGGTCGGGAGCTAGTGATTACAGACCCGGTCGTAAGGAGTCGAGAGCTTTTCATCTCAGACTACGTGGACACTTATCATGCTGCTGCTTTAAGGTAAATCATAAAAAACATTGCGAGATTAAGAAGTGCGAACCTAAGGGAACACATGTCAAATAACAGCAGCACTTTGAAGAGCGGGTTCCCGGGGCTTGCTGGGAGCTCACCTTGGAGCGAGCAGATCACGCAACACAAGTTGTACTATTTGTCATCCTCTTTTCAGTTGTATACAAACCCAGATAGTACCATATTAACATCTAAATCCCATTGCTTATCTGTTGGGGGGTATTGCAAAATGCATAATATATCTCAAGGTTGTAACATAATGTATAATAACATAATAATACATAATACTAATGATTAAAAATAAGCGACCAAATTGTATAACATGAGAAACTAGAAAACTACTAATTTTGGCAAGAACCAGAATCCCATTCCTATACCTCTATCCAAACAGCTCTAGATGTATTACAAAATCCAAAATAACATTTTTAATTATGTTGCAAACAGACACAGACAAACAAACCAGGAGATAAAACTTGGCAGAGGTCATACGAAATTATAACTTCTGGTGATTCACCAGACCTCACAAACTGTTTTTGATGGAAGCAATATACCTTTTGTTAATACCAATAAGAATATAAATGATTTCCTAATCCTATTCTTACTCATTTGTATTGGGTCATTACTTAGACCCTTGATTTTAACGTTCCAAAATAAGTAATTATGCATCTTTACTGAAACATAACCTTAACTTTATACTTTTAACAGCAGGAAGCAGTCACCCATAATGATTTTCCACAGTAGAAAACCGGTTTCTTCCTTTCATATGGGAATGTATGTCTTGATCCGTTCCTGGCTGACCACCTCTCCCACTTCCCCTGCACGCTCTAACCATAACCATGTGTGAGCGGCTCGTCGGTGGCGGCCAGTCAAAGCCCTGTCCCCCAAAAACCGCTGATTTCAGGGCAAATTAGCGGCAACATCTCCTCCACAGAGCCGCCTTTGATTTGACTTATTCTCTGGGCTTTAGATAAATGCAAGAGAATTCCAGTGGGATGGTGTAACTCTGCAGAAACGGCCTGCCTTCTTAGAGTACTTTAATCTTTTAAAGCGCATGAAGATACCGATTCTGTGTGGGGCTACCCGGCTGTATTTGACTGCTGAAATTATGCAGAGACTACAAACAAGAAATGACGTTAATATGTGATTTGGTTCTAAATCAATTTGAAAAAGCACATTTTTATAATCCTGATATCCTTAACCATCATGATCTGTTCTGTTTGACCATTGACACGTTTCTGTTTGAGCTCTGACTTGGCCATTAATTCAGTATTTATGCATTAACAAGCAGAGTATAATCTCTCAAAACGATCTATCTTAACTTTCTTTATTACAGAGAACTCAAACTGTATGAAATATGGTATTTCTAGATATAGATAGATTAGATTTATAGATCTTCAGCACTGAATTCAACAGCTCTAGTCTTACTTTGTATTCTGCTGTGTGATGCTCATCTGAACATTAGTTGTACAAGTGAAGGCTGGGGTGAAAAAATCAGAGAATCTTAAATGTTATGAAATTGAAATTGCAGCCACCATTATGACGTCAGAAATGACAACGCCCTTAGCTGTTTGTTTGTTGCTTCCTGTATGTAAGATATTAAGTTTGTGTTTTTCCTCCAGGGGGAAGTGCAACATTTCTCATTTCTCCGACATATTTGCTGCGAGGGAGTTCCGAGCCCGAATAGACTCCTTCTTCTACATCCTTGGCTACAACCCGGAGACCAGGTGAGAAACCCACATAGCCTTAAAGGTCCTAACCACAGTTTTTTTAACATTTTAGAGTACGAAGTTCTTGTCTGATATTTGTTTAATTGGTTTGGACAGTTGGATTGACTGAGTGTATTCAAAAATGCCTGACATTGGAAAATACATGTCAAATACACTTTGAATCTTTGAATTTAGTTCATAAAAGCTTTTCCCCTGGTCCAAATGAGCAAGAGGCTATTTTTCTTTCAATTGTGTTGAATGTAGAATTTGATTATTTTAAGAGGTATTTTAACAACACACTCAACAGTAGTATTCAGGGCTGTTTTAAATGTCCTGAAGGCTTGATAACTGTATTGTTGTAGGTTGTTGTTTTTCATTTGTAGACATGGAAAATTGTATATTGAGGTACACAGTAATTGTACAACCAGGTTGCGTTTAACTAACTAATAGCTAATACTCAGAACTGTATATATGTATTGTTAATGTAAAAGGCAATTGGAGTGAAAGAAAAAAAAACATTCTTCAATATTGTTTTTTCATATACATTTTAATAATCATGAATTTCACTATATCATTCCTCCTTGGGATTATTTAAGGTAGAGTGCCACCCAAGTAGCAACTTCAGCTGAGTTGCTACATGACTACAGGACAGTTGCTATACAGTGATCTGGCTTATTTGTATGCTATTTGTTTATTATTATGTTATAATGTTTATTATATGGTCTGTTTTTACTCATATCGATTCAGTCAAGGACATCATACTTATGAAGTGCCATTTCCATTCAGTCTCTGTCGTGACATTTTATAGAGACAAAACTGCTTTTGCATGAGATTCTTTAGAGAAGATTTGTTGTTTGGGGATGTCACGTGTTGGTGTCTGTTAAAGGGCTCTGAGTAAAGCCTGTAGGAATCCCCCTTCATTGGGCCCCATTCATCTGCTCTCCCCTCCCTCCACTGCAGCTCTGCTCGTTTGGTATTCTGAGCGGCGTGTCTGCAGCCTTGCAATTTCACTCTTGTTTATTATGGCACAGACACACGAGCAAAGATGAACTCCCTGTGCCGCATGCGTGTGCGCCTGCCAGCGTGTGTGTGCGCCTGGTGCGCGCCGGTGTGAGGTCGCGGCACATGCTCAGTTGTGTCTGGAGAGAAATACGCGCAGATCAGGTCACGGCACAAGCTCTGAACACCTCCGGAGTGAATGTGTGCCGCTCCATTTTGAGCACCTTATAAAGGTGGGAGCCTCACGCTCCGTGTCAGCGAGCAGCTCAGGGCGATGGCAGACATGGACGATCTGTTCAGCCCCCGGAGGTAGGTGGAGGTCCGCTTTCACTGCTCTCCTCGCGCTCTGCACGCTACCAGGATGCTCGTCTATTGTACTCTCGCCGTTTACGCATACATAATATTATTACAATCATGTCTCTGTAGACGCATGGCTGTCACGGGCTTTACCTGTTGTAGTTCTTCTGTCGGGGTGGTACAATGAATAACGGAGGCAGACCTCGAGTCTGTCTCTGCAGACGTCTTTGCGCATCACTGCTTCTATGTGGAAACGTGTTCGCAATGTGGCTCTCGTGGACCTAGTCTATGTCACAATAAAACCCATGTTATCCGTGTCTTATTCATTAATGGCTGGGTATAGAGCGGACACCTCAACTGTGGCTCCATTTTGCAGCAGCCCCGTGTTTACAACCGAGGTGACATGGCGCACGCGACAACACAAAGCATGAGGCTTTCCTGTGCGTCTCCTCCGGGCGCGGTGTGGCGCACGCCGTCCCTCTCGCAGTTTTTCACTGAACAAAGTTTGAGTCTCATATGCTGCGCTACAATTATGTCAGTGTGCCACATACGGTGGCTGGGATTGGCTGATATTGATGGAGGGGGCGGGACTAGCCTTGATTGCTCGTTCATGCACAAAGTGGAGCCTATTGTTGATGTTTTGTTTTTAAAAATGTATAACACTGTTATTACTCGGCAGTATTATGAGTAAGTGCTAAATGTGAACAGATGATTCACTGTTTTCCTTTTGTTCTCTGGAGCCTCACAGAAAACAAAGACTTAAGACATAGCTTAAAGAAAAGGAAAAGCAACTCAAAGCCAATTATCATAACTGTCACATTCTGTATGAAGTTCTCGTTGTAATTGCATCTTTAAAGCTCATGGCATCAAAGCAAAGAAGTAGACATGTTCTTGTGTATTTTGGCTTGAGTTTGGGTCTGAAATATAGTAGCTGTCTCATTGAAAACTCCCTGTCACGGTACATTTATATTCTGGCTCCCCTCTCGACCCAAAGCAGCCCTCAGACTGAATGTCGTTGTGAACTCAGAGGATTTGCCTGTGTAAAACCTAGCTGTGCTCAGTGCTGTTTTTATTCTGCTGCACAGGTCCTCGTTTGTCATCCTTACAGCCTGCTGCCAGAACACTGCTGACCCGACTCACTGCACACTGTCAGAAACACATTTGGAGAAGTTTCCCTCAGTCAATGCTTACCATATGACTATTGTATACTTGAGGACTTGTGCATAGTTTCAACATGATTCTCAGTTAGACATATCAAAGTCAATATTGGTATAAATTCTGAAAACTTGCACAAACTTGTTTCTTGAATAAAAAAAGTAGCTTCATCTTATTGAATAGATTTGGCGATCCATACAAAGGAAAGGGTTCATGTGTTAAAATATATTAACAAACATGTAATGAAATGGACTTAATGCCATGTTGTACAATCCGAACAGTTTTTTATACAAACTTAATATTTCTGTTCTAGATATATTGAAACATTCCACTAACTATGATTGAAGTCAAGCCTACGTTATGAAATCCATCTTTTGAAACTTTTACAATCAGGATCTAAAACTCTGCTGACGCACAGACCACCCCATTTTCATTTTATCTGCTCCATTCATCAGGTCTGTTTGCCAACTCCTGAATGCTTTATATTTAGTTTGCCCTGCCTGTCTTTGAGTGTTTATAATAAACCAATGAAATATTGCACTATTTTCCAGAGCAGCAGCACTGTGTCAAGCTGCCCTGACAAGCCTGGGGTCATTTACTGCTTTTGAAATTTAGTTTTTGGCCAGCAACCACAGCACAGTATAGATTACACATTTAATCTTGCTGTCTTGTGCTAATCTTTAGGAAGGGGATACAGGGGGAGGCATGTTTTAGTTTGGGGGGATTTTACAGTCTCTCTCTGGCTTCTTGTATTTCCACAGCTTGATTGAGAGAGTGTGTGCGTGCGTGTGCATGTGCGCGTGCCACTCATGGTGCAAATCTTGCTGACAGTATCCGGGACGCCCAAAAACTCGCCTGTATATATATTAAAAAACAGAATCTGTGCGGTTACCCTGGCAACGAAAAGGGAAAGGGGTTTTCAAAGGGAACATCTTGTCATTTTCTTTAATCCACTGCAGCTGGAGAGTCGGAAACACTATTATTAAATTGCAGTTGCCATGGTTACGCACATTTGAACCGGCAGCAGAGTGGCCCCCACCTCGTGCCCCGTACTCGTGTACCCGACAGCTCCCCTCTTTTAGGGTTTTATAGCTGCATCCACAATATCAGGTCTACGACCGAGCAAAAAGCCCGGTCCCTCAATTCTTTTGTCTCCAAACTATAACTGAATGTTGTAAAGGTGATTTCAGGTTCAGGCCGTGGAAACTCGTGTCCTAATCACTCACAGCTATAAAGGACCACAAGTTGAATAACGCTTTAGTTTATCACATCTCTTTGTCCCTTTGCAGGCGTCTGAACAGCACACAAGGGGAGATCCGAGTGGGGCCCAGTCACCAAGTAAGTGCCACACATGTTCAGCATCTTTTCAACATACACGTTCTTTCCTCTCAACAATACTGTGACTCAAATGTCATTCAGTCACAATAATGCAACACACACTTTAAACCCTATTTTGACTGCAAACAGGGCTTAACAACAAAACTAATAAAATGTTTTTTTAATAATCAACAACTGCTTTTGATCATTATGGCTCAATATACAGGCTCCAACACATTTTAGTGCTTAAAATGTTATTCTATACATTAAATACAGCAGCATTAACAAAAAATAAAACATTCCATTTCTCAATTTGATGATGAAATAGTTTCTGGAAATATAATCTCTATTAGAATGTCCTCCAGTAGCTTCTCTTCAGATTTTTATGTTTCAAATTGAAATACAATCACATTTCCAAATTAAAAACAACAAAGAGATAATCACTGGATACATTTTCAAAATAAGAAATAAGAACAAGTTGTGGAAACCATAAGTAAACTCACCATTTGAATGATTTAAAATGCTCATGATATGAGAGAGGAATACGATGGGACAAATGCAAACCAGTAATTAATGAACGTATTTATTTATTTATGTTTATACTAATTCAGGGGTGAATGCTCTTGACCTCAAACCACATAATCTTTAGTCAATCATTCAGAATTGTTATGAAATGATATTATTACAGTTGATTGTGAACATAATTCACAAACTAGGAACTATGCTTTAGATCTGTATGCTGTAGATGACAATTCATCATTCACAAACTGGAAAAGGTTTACGTAGTTGTGGTTAGAGGTGCTCTAATATCATCACAGTTGTATTTAATTAATCATTTAGGATGAATGATTGAGGTGACATTAAAGTATCAGGGCTTTGGCTGCGTCCCATGCTTCATTTAGACCTACCGGCTCTGGTTACACTCATAGAGCTGATCTGACCAGTCTCACTCATAATCACATCTCTCTGAGGTTCTGCAGCCTTGAGTTAAACGGCCGATGGCTGCCATTTGAAACTGTTCTCCACTGACACCACGCACACTGCAACGACAGCACACCGAAATGTGATATTTTCTGCTATTTCAAAGTTGTCTGCTATTTGTAGTGTGACTTCTGTCCCTCTGCTCTTCCCTGAAACTAATTAGGCCAAACTCCCCGAGCTGCAGCCCTTCCCTTCCCCGTGTGGTCAGGCTGTGACCGAGAATGAGGAGCTGGTGTGGATGCCCGGGGTCAACGACTGTGACCTTCTCATGTACCTCAGAGCCGCAAGGTGAGCTGCTGGTGCTCAACGTTTACCTTTACTGTGAGATGTACAACTGCTCTCATTTAGTCTGAACCATTACTGTTTATCTTTATATTACGAAAACAGTTTGAATTAGTGATTGTACAGACCATGCTCTGAACTTACATACAAACACACAGTTTTGGCGTGTAGGGCAACATATACACACATAAGTCATTTATGCGTAAATATGTTGCCCTACATGCCAAAACATTTTAGTTGCTTTTTGATAACTGTGTGTTTCTTGGTAAACATCCAAAGCATGTATTTTATGCATCTTGTTAAATAGAGGGTTCACATTTATGTAGGACTGTTTCATCAAAGAAGTTGTGTATTAATAGACTTGTGTTGGCCAACAGGAGCATGGCTGCCTTTGCTGGAATGTGTGACGGAGGCTCAACAGAAGATGGGTGCCTTGCAGCCTCTCGAGACGACACTACACTCAATGCACTTAACACTGTGAGTATTACTGTACTGCGTGAGATAAATAATATATAGAACATATTAATTTCCATTAATTGATATTCAGAGATGCACAGTTCAGTAAATAGAGACTAGAGAGTACAGTAACCCCTTTAATGTCCCCACTGCTATTAACGCTCTGGCCAAAATGATGCATTTGTCGTCACAATGAATACTGAGAAATCAAGCTCCAGAAAAAAATAATACATTCTTCATAAACAGGGCATTTATATGCCGACTCTATAAAGTGGATATTAACATAGTGAGCAGGTCAGTGTCACTCGACCTTCCTATGCATCTGCAATTCCAATGAGTAATGCTTGTTTATTCTCAGAGGAGAGAACCAGCTATTTCCCTACTATTTCCCCAAAGCTCGTCTGACACAGGCTTTAACCTGCACTTTCTGCATTGTTACATTTGCGTCCAAGTTATATCAAGGCTAGATAATTCTGGAAATAAAATAATAGTACAGTACATGTAAATAAATCCCCCATGTATATTCTTCTCAGTTCAACTAAAATATGATGCAAATGTTTCAAATAAATTATTAATTTGTAATTTTGTCATTGATCCACAGCTTCATGAGAGCAGCTACGATGCAGGGAAAGCTCTCCAGCGCCTTGTGAAGAAGCCAGTCCCCAAACTAATAGAAAAATGCTGGTCTGACGATGAAGTGGTAAGTGCACTGTTTACTGCTGTCTCCTTTGTTGTCAGCTCTTGCCTTCTGCCTATAGGTGGCACTATTGACAGAGTTAGGGCTTCTGTCTGCACAGACCTTCTTAACTGCCTGTTTCCAAGGCTGAAGAGCAGCTGCATCCTGTTTATCGCTCACAGAATAAATCTTGACTGTGAATGCCTGCAGAAGAGATTGCACGCAGCAAAAAGCCATATAGCCTCCATTTGAATTTAGATGTGAATTTTCCCCACAGCTGCTGAAGTGCTGGGATCAGAAAATGGCAGCCTGATCAAACAGCGGCGTGGACTGGTGGGAGGCACAGACATACAGTGTCAAAACTGAAGGAAATCTGTGGCTTCAGCCTTGATATTTTCTGACACGCTGCTCTGTGTTTGAGCACACGTTCGCTTTCTCAGATAACACACCAACTGATCCCATGGCACAGTTTATAAAAACATGCCACTGTTGCTCTTCCCTCCAGCTGTCTGAATTATCTTTGTTCCTCTTTGAAGTTGTTTATAAAACTCAACACAGAAAAAGTTTGTATCATTTTGCTAGCAAGCACGTGAAAATAGTTTTTATATGTATTGGACATAATAGGCACATTGAAACGCATTGGTCAATTCATTTCTTTTTAAATATTGTTTTTGAGGCTTGTGTCCATGTATATTGTGTAGTTTATTTGACCCTTGTGAATTTTTCAGAGTGACTGCTGGCCTCTGGTTGTGACCCAAGGCACTGATTTATACACATCATCCTACCCACCCTACAGACAGTCATAATCTATTCACACACCCATACTAACAAAAATCTCTAAAAACATGATGTATCAAAAAAGAAATCATGCTTTTTTTGGATCACAGTTAGTTTTTAGTATTGCCATGGAAGTGGGATATTTGTTCAAAACTTGTTAAAGGTCAGTTATCCTTCACGTCACTTGTTGCTCACACTTTGGTCTGTGACATGTGGAGCACATGCTGTGACTGTAGAGTGGAGCTGTGGGCACCTCTGCTCAGGGAGGTCAGCGACAGAACCACTGTGTCTGTTCCTTCAGGAGTAGAGCTCCCTATGTGCTTAGAGTCTGAGGGACAGATGTGAGCGGTGCTCCCCACCCAGACATCGCTTGGCTTCCTTATTTATTTATTTATTTATAATGTGGTTGACTTTCGTCCTCTCTGAGTTCTGTCGTGCTCTGTGCTCTTTGTCATTATTCTCCTCCCCCTTGCCTCGTCTGAAGATGTGAATAAAAGTGACAGTGACTGGTGCAGGACTGACAGCATCAGCCTGTCTTCAGGGTCACTTCCCCTCCCCCTTGTCGTGTGTCTTTTCCACCTCTCTCCGCTCTCTACCTCAGTGGTGTCAAACATGTGGCCTATGCATTTCAGTGCCCCCAAAATGATTTTCAGATAGAATAATTAACTCTCAAGCATTGATGGTAAAAGATTAATGGGCTAGCACAGTAAATTGTTGAAAAGCTTATTTTTTCAATAAAAAACACATAATTCACATGATTGGATTAATGTACAAACAGTGCTTCCTTACCTTTGGTCAAGTTTTGGTTTGATCCAAACTGTTGTCCAAACAATATACAAAAATAAATATCTTGATAATAATATTAATTATAAAGAAATAACCAAAGTGAAGAAGTGGAGGTTGTAGTAGATGGCTTTCTTTCTTTTGTGTATTTCCATCATGAAAAATTAGTAAGTTGGTACTATGTTGATGCGCCAAATTATATGCACACTTTCCTAGACTGTCTGATGCTACATATACTTTGAACGTGTGCTAAAAGTGAATTTGTGAACTATGAGGTATTTTTACTGTAAAAGGTTATATAAGGCTTTTCTGATCAAAATGTTAATGCTGATTAATATTTTATTTTAAAACATTGTACTGGATGAGCATGTTGTTTACGGAAACATCTCTTAAACAAGACTAGGCAAGATTATCCAATCAGAAAGCAGAATGAATCTCATTTGGGCTCCCAGATTCTTTTATGAAATCCAGTTTACTGCAGGACATAATTAATCAGAGCTAGAGCAGCGTGTGTGTGAACTGGAAACAACAGTTTAAGTAAGTAAGTAATCTTTATTTACATACCGCCTTTCACAGACCAGAGTCACAAGGCGGTTTACAATTGTGGGCATTTGTCCACTCACTCCACACAGAGATGGGAGCGTGTCGCCAGTACAGGAGGCGCATGCCAGACGTATTGTACATATTTTTAGTGGTAGGGAAACCGGAGTTCCCTGGAGGAAACCTACGCAGACACAGGGAGAACATGCAAACTCCAGTTTGTTCAAAGTCTGGCAGCTGTTACATTTTCTCACCTGAAATGTAGCTTTTTCCATATTTAAATTCCTTCTGTTATCTGCCACATTTACTCACAGTACATGAATGCACTCTGCCATATTCTAATGAATGAATGTCCTCAGCCGACACCGCTGTCACCCTCAGTGTGAAAGGGCTGCTGCTAATCATGCATTGGCCAACAGGAGGTGCCATATAAACAATGTGGAGCTGCGGTCTGGTGTGTGTCTTCATGTCAGGGGCACACGGGCTGATCTATGCCTGGTGAGGGGCCACCAGCTCTGTGCTGTGCCTTATCTCCTGCCCTGTCCTCTGCTGATGGATGACTGGAGCGGGCAGTCAACAGCCCAAACATGGGAGGGGTGGAGTGAGGAAGCGGGGAAAATAGTGGCCCCTCAGTGGAACTGAGTAATCCAAAAACTCTGCCGTTTGCACACAACATGGCTTCCTGCTTGCTTTCTCTGGACTTTGGCAGTTGATTTTAGTAACAATAGAATCAAAATAGTTACAGCTACATACTAGTTATAATACATTGGTGGTAATTGTGATAGTGTTAGTACTTTGAGTAATTCGAAGTAGAAGAAAGTAAGTAAGTTTTGCTTTTGATAGGTTTTTTTTAAGTACATTGGGCTTGTGTAATATCAACAGCATTTTGGTGCATGCGATGCTATGCCTGTAATGCTTTTAGCCTATTTTTGTAACTAAATATCGGACAGGATGGGCGTTGTCTGGAATTTCCTGTCACCTTTGCTTTTATACAAGCAAGAAGTAATACAAGTCTACTACAAAACAGTGACCACTCCAGATTCTTCATAGCTTGATAAGCATGTTTTATCTTATGTTTCTTTGTGAAAAGGATGTGGGTTTACAGTGTGGTTGACCTCTTCCCCAGACTGTTGTGTGATTTTTTGCAGACTTGATCACACACACACGCTGCAGTGTTTTGGGTGGTGGATAGCGGGCCGATTGTGCCCTCTGCCCAAGATTTAAACACATCAAACTTGTAAAGGTCAGCCTCTAACAACCAGTCATCTATGATGGCTCTGTATCGAGTCAAAGTGGCTTTTTCTGCTCAGGGTCGAACTCACAGAATAACATTTAGCTGAAATTAATTTTTCAGTGTTGTGCCACAGATGTGGAAAGTGTTTTAAAATAATTGTTGTAATTGTATGTTGTTCTTTTAAGGTATACTACGCAACTTTCTTGGGAGAGTGTTGACTTTTTGTTTGGGTTCTTCTTAATTAGTTTTCCTGGAATCTTTATTTGGCTAAATTCAAAATCACATTTGTGAAGAACCAAATCAATTTAAATATTGAGGTTATTGAGCTGTAAAAACATCTGTAATTTGATAGATGTTTATTTAAAAACCTGTACAACACAATTTTGCAGAACAAAGTAACAGTTTTGAAGAGTGTCTGTGTGAAGAAAATGCTTGATATTTCATAAAAGGTTGGAAGTTTATAATTTAAAAAAAAAGTAGGGTTGAGAACTATCCACAGCATACAAAGATGGTGCTATTGAAGGCACTGTCTTTCTCTGGAGCAAAACAGTGATTGTCCAAGTTCTATTTTTGTACTGATTTGTATGTAAAATTTTGGTTGTTGATCTGATCCAGAGTGTGTGTTTGGTCATGTTTTAAATAACTGGTGACAAAAAAAGTTTATGTCATAGTGTGGCCCACACACATACACTCATGGGTCCAGGACAACAACAGAAAGAAAATACAACACAGTCTGTACATATCAAAACAAACTGATACTACTGACGCAACTATACGCTCCGGAAATCGGTACTCAAGTTATTATTGTTGTATACTTCATTACTTCCATTTCTTGTAATCGATCTTAACACAAGTATTCTTTCTCACCAGCCATACAAGTTTTAATTATCACCTCCAGTCCAGGAAGTGCGCACACAAACACACACAACAAAAGCCTATTGAATCATTTTTCTGGCCCTTGTCATCTTTTATATGCTTACAATAGTGCAGTGTTCGGCTGCGGGGAAACTCTGGGGCGGGGATTTGCCAGCGGAGAGAGAAGCCTGTTGTTTCTGCTCAGCCATGGCTATTTGCTACAGCACTAACACCCAACCCCCCCCCCGCACTCCTCCTCCTCCCCCCTCCCATTGCGCCGTCCCGCACGCCCCTCCTCCACCGGTTGCGTTTCCTAGCAACGCCAGGGCCAGAGCAATAGGAGAGCGAGGGGCAGGATTGAGGGAGCAGATTGGCGGATGATTTATTAGCTGGGCTGGAGAGCGGTGAGCCCAGGCAGCTGAAATGGAGCCTTAAAGGAGGAGAATGAAGGGAAAGGGAGGGGGAGTGTGGAGCGTCAGGGCGGGAGGGGCTACTGCCGTGTAGAGACAAATGGACAGGCTGGGTAAATAGTACAGTTAGCAAACATAATTGGACTAAGAAATTAGGTTTGTCTCCACATTCTGTATTCTTCACAGGTATGCTCTGCATTAAATTCTATGCAGAATTAAATTCTAATAACTATTATTTGTATAAGTATCAAAATCACATTAATTAATTTATTGTATACTGAAACTGGATGATAATTTAGAAAGTATCAATTCTTTCACAAATGGGACACCATGTGAGATTATTTGAGCAGTGTTTGTGTGATTTTGATGTAAGAACTAATATAAAACCTTGAGCAGATAAAACTAAGATTAAGGTTTCCAAATCAATCAAGCCATGGTAAAATATAAAACTTGGCGCCATTACTCTTGTTGTGCTATTCGGACAACACTAATATGTATTCAATCATTTAGCAAATGTAGCTATCCACTTTTTTCTTAATGCATAGCATCCACCTTGAAATTGCGTTGCAGAAGTCAGCACCTGCCCAATCATCTGCAAATGTCAGTGCAGTGACAGTTATATGCAAAAGTTTAAATGACTGTGTTTGCATTGCTGGTGATGCTAACGGCTCCATCTACTGGCTAATGAGCTATAGCACTTTGATTAATGCAAATCAGCTGCTTCGTGTTGTCTTTATATGTCTTTTACACACACCTTTTAATCTTGAATCTTTGGCTTGTTTAGTCTATCTGTACCCACTTTGTACTTGGACTGTTGCAGGCATAAACTTAAAAACTTTTGATGTCAAGTATAAAGACGGTCATTGGCTTTGTTGTCTACTTTACTCTGTTATTATTGCAGAAGCTTGTGTTTTAGTGTATCTTAGTTGCGTCAGTCAATTTGCTCTTTTAGTTGTGTAAAGCTGGGTATGTAAACAATCAGTGATTGCATAACACGCTGTAGTTGATGTGGAAAAATGCACTCCTGACCTTTAAGCCAAACTCCATGCCTGGTTTTGCTTGTTGCATGTCTCTTTCCATCCATGTCCAAAGCTCCTTTCCCCACACAAGCACTCTGCCTTCCCTTCACTCTTTGGCAGCTTGTTCTGTTTTTGTTCCCACAGCTTTTAGTGCATTCAAGACAGTGGTGGATAGAAAATTCATTTTTCAGCTTCGCATTTACAACAGAATTGGTCTGGCTTCTATGTTCCTCTGGCTGATAGTGTAGACCTAAAGTTATGAGTGATAAACTGCATGCCTCACGCTGCCATGGATCACTGGACTCCACTCCAGGTTTTCCAGGCAGCCGTGAACCAGAGGCTCTCTTGCAGAAAGATCACATGTAAAGCCTTCCCCTTTGTAGTGGAGGAGCAGAGAGTGACAAGCTATTTCTTGCTTGTAAAAATAACAGCGTAAAGAGCCGTGTACCTTCAGAAACGCCATGGATTTGATGTTTTATTTCCACTCTTCACCCATGGTTGCATGTAAGGATCAGCGACGCCTTTGCCCGGGACTTTAGACTGCTTTTAGCCTTTGGAGTTACTTGGTGGAAACGCTCTGCTGGCTGAAGAGCGGTGAGGATCGGGGCTCGGCTCTGGAGACGAGAAAGTAAATGTGTTTCTTTGCTCTGCTGGTTCTGAATGTTTTTAGCTTGGACATAAACATGCCTCCCAGAGCATTGTGCTACAAAGGAGGACAAATATGTTAAGCTGTCTGTGATTTGTGTTTTGTACTGCGGCTGGTACGTCCACATTTTAGTTCAAGTCAGACTGATCCGTACTGGTGCTGGAAAAACTATCTGTCAGAGCACTTCATCTCTTATATCTATGGAATTTTGTTTTTTATTTGTTAATATGTGCATCTCATTATCTGAAATACATTTGTAAATGTTTGTTGTTCAAAACAGCTATACTTTGACAGCGACTTGGGCATCTGCTCAACTTCTGTTGTGCACCTTTCCTAGGCTGTTCCCGTCTATATTAAGCATGTTAATCTGTGTGCCTGGTATTTATGCCGTATGATTCTTTGCATTTTATCCAATATTTTGCCCTTGCATGACAGACATTTTTTTCACTATTTGGGTCAGTAATCATTATCCCTGGGGTTTCAAAGCCGTCAAATATTTTCAGATAGGAAAACCTCCATGACCACAGCCAAACCAAATTATCAGGGTTTTTTGTGTTGGAGCAAGACATTCTGTTACCTAATACTAACTCTTTGCTTTTCTCTCTCTCTCTTTGGGTGAAATTGCAGAAGCGGTTCATTAAAGGATTGAGGCAGTTTGGGAAAAACTTCTTCAGGATCCGAAAAGAGCTTCTGCCTAACAAAGAGACGGTAAGGCACATTATTCCTGCTTTTATCACATTATGCACATGACTTGTAACTAATCTATAGTTGTTATATCTTCTGCACAGTTGACTCATAGCCTGGGGTCTTATTGATAAGCAATAAATCCTTGCCCACAACAGTTGTTCACTTACTTTAGGCTTTCCATAAAAAGTAAAAAGAGGGTTAAAACCAAAGCACCGCAACTGAGCTGGAGTAGTGCGTTTTTAGCTAATTAGCACCCACTGTTAGCTGTAAACAAACTAGTAGTAAACAAATGCGTAGGCCAATAATGGTTTAACTTTTTATTGCATCAGATGTTCACACTTTTTATTAAAGCCACAGTAATGAGATCCAGTAAAGTTACCCACTGCAAAGGTCTTACATGTTTGAATAGTATACAAGATGTCTTTTGTACACAATTACGTATTCTGGCATTTGATTTAAAGAGGATTTGTTCAACTGTAAAATAATAAAAAAAACTTTGGTTTGTGAACTAGCGGTTGTCCTGCTGCACATATGTTGTAACTGTCTTCATATCTGACCCACTTTGGCACGTTTTGTTACTGTTTGGTTTGGAGTAAATGCCAATTCTCCGTTTGCAGTGTAAATAATCCATTTTATTTTTCACAAATTGTCAAAGATTAATAATCACACACTTTAAGGTCATGTAGCATTTTCCTACTTTGACTTTGTAATGTGTTTTGGCGCAATTTTGTTTGTAATTGTTTCTTTTGAAGCCTTTGGTGCGCACAAATGTCACATTCAACATACAGAAGAAATAAGACATGATGTTATTAACTGTTATCACAAACTAAAACGTCACAAAACCAGCTGAAGGTTCTTATCAGAGCGACACAGACTATAAAAAGTATATTTAGACTCAGGGCAGCTCAGGGCAGACCCCAAAAGGTTGAGATTAGTAACAGAATATTTGCAGGATTAAAGAGAAACATGTCGTACGTGTTGCACCAAAGTGGTCCACAAGTCTGTCTGTACTGTTAAAATAATTCTCCTATCTGTGCTGTGATTGGTGGCGCTTGTGCTGCTTTCCCCAGGCCGCTCCTGCTGGATGTGTGCCTATTCAGAGCTTGACACAGACATCAAAGCTAAATCAAAGGTGTTTGTCACAGTCCCGGGAACACTTTACATAACGCGTCTCATTTTGTGTCTGGATCGCCAAACCACCAGCTCTTTTGTGCGCAATTCTTTATTTCTGAAAACCAATTTAAATCCCTTGAATAAGAGATTAAAGAGTGTGAATACAGTTTCCCCACAAAAAGGTTCCCCTCAATTATTTTTACTGTTTTTTGAAATATATGACTTGTCCGGCTGATTGGCTATAAAGGAGGTATTAATGCGCTTCATCCTGGAGGGGGAGTCCATTTGGCAGCAGCAGAGGTAATAGACCTACTCCAGGATCTAGGCCTGCCACCAGCACACGGAGCACAGATTAATTTTCCCTCTGCAAATGGAAAATAAACTGCCCTTTAAACATATGAAAAGAGAGGGAAATGACTGGAGCGAGGGGCGGCCAGGACATGCGCAGCTTTGTTTGCAGAAAGAATAAACTCTACCATACTTTTGTTTTGAAGTCTGCGATATTATTGCAAAAACATCCTACTGTGCAGTACTTATTCAAGGGATGTTCATTTTCACTTTATCAGTTTATGATAAAGCATCCGTTCTCGTTCTATGTTCTTGTTGTTTCTCTAGAAAACATATATGTTCTTGGATGATCCATAGTGTGGTATAAACCTGTAAAGTAGGTGGTGCTATGATTCATGTTGATTCATTGAGAAGGACAAAATGTTGTCAATGTTTATGAGAAAAAAATGGTTCCAAAGAAATGTAGGAGAGCAATATGTTGTAAACGGTTGACTAAACTAATAATATTTGAATGGGCTCAAACATAAATTAGATAAACTTTTTCATTATGTGTCTTTGCTTCAAAGTACATTGTAAAATGTACAGCTCTCCTTGTGCTGGCTGCCCTGCTCTGCCCATTCCGAAGTTCTGATGTGCCAGGGCCAAGCACTCTGCTCTGTAAACAAGCCCAGTAGCACCAGGGAATGCTTTAAATAAAGTCACATAAAGGCCCTCAGGGGAAGTGGGTGTGGCCTCTGACCGTCTGAGCTGCCACCATTTCCCCTGCTCAACAACTCAGTGCTGCCACCGCAGAATACAACAGAGTATTTTTATACAGGCAGTGTGAATCTCCTATTCATTATTAACAGTTAACCTCACAAAAATTGTGGACTGAGCTCAAAATGATGCTTGGACTCACTGATGAGATTATAGATCGAGGTCAGGTTTGTTTACAAACGGTGAAACTAGTTACTAGCAAGTTAAAAGTGTTGTCATACAGCTTCATACTTGTCCTGAATGAACTCAAGAGCACCATCCCCTGCACTGTTCTTCCTCAGGTCCTTTTTTTACTTCTTTAATGCTATCGACATAATTAATGCATCACTGAGAAAGAATCATGTGCAAATGTCCCGGAACAGCCTGTACCATGAGCTGGACCAAACCATAATATAAAGCAACAAGCAACTAGTTTTTATTTTTTTATTTTACGGTAGTCGATGGCTGTTACTTCAGCTTCTTCCTGGCTTCACATTATGGTATCGTAATAATGTTTACAGAGCGACTCAATATGTCGCCCTAATAAAACAAATAGTCAGAGCCAATCTGTTAATCTTTTTGTATTTTAGCTAATCTTTGCTTACATTCTCTCTGGCTGTTGTTTGTCTTGTTCCAGCACACAACAAGTCAATGTCCATGTGGTAAATTATATCATTCATGATTTACCTAAATCCATTTTTTTACCTTCCGTTTCCCCCTGCCCCTTGTCAGCCACAGAGTCCCCTGCAGGGGTGCACTGCTCTCACCATAACCTCGCAGCAGCTGTTTATCCCAATTCAAACTGTAACAAACGTCAAATTGAATTCATGTCTGTGTCCTAATCTGCTCCGTTTGCTCCTCAGGGAAGACTGGGATTATAAATACTTTAATTCAAATACTAATTATATAAACTCTCACCTGCAGGCGGCGATCCAGTGACAGGCAAAATTCATGTTCTTTAAAGGATACAACTTGTTTAAAGCTTGTAAAATGTCGCTGTCTGATGGGGGCATTAGCAGCCAGTATTGATGTTCTTGTAGCACACCGCAGGCCATTTAGTGCGTGTAGGCAAACCGTTTTTTCCCCTGGCCTAACAGATGGAGCAGGCCGCACCATAGCTCCAATGCTGTGTGTGTAATTGAGTTCTTTAGGTTTTTGCGCCATGGTTATGGGGTGGAATGGAGGGAACAGCTTATCAGCAAAACATGCAAGATCGACCCTGTAGTGAAAAAAGCCAATGTTGCCATCCAATCTGCTTTCATTGGCAAAAGCGCTTAGAGCAGGAGAAACTACAAGTGCTGATGCGCGGCTGTGTGCATCCCTGACCTGGTAGAGCAGAGCTTATTCAGACAGAAAGAGCGTACGCAGCGGGGAAGAGCCGTCTATTTAACTGCCTTTCACTGCCTCTGCCTGCTACAGCCTCCACCAGCCTTTCACTATTCAACGGCAGAGGAATCGGCTTCAAGGCAATGCTCAGAGCTTGGAGGACAATCTTTTGAATTGACGACATATGGTGTGCAGTATATCTATGGCGCTCACGTCACAAATCCTTGATGGGCAAAATAGCCTCTTAAAATGTATATAGGAGTTGCACAGCTCTCAAAAGCAATTTAATACAAATACAGTGTTCAATGTCTGTGATGACTAATTCATAGGGTGGATACTTAAGCTATATACAGTTATAATGTTAAAACTTGGCTCATTGCTTGGAAAACCCCCAAAAAAATCTCTCTGAAATTGACTGTAAGTAATCAAACTTATACAAAGGCTTGACATTTGTCACTTTGAGTGTATTGAGTTGTATTTGAACAACTGAAATAAATGAACTAACGATTTGAACATTTGTTAGAAAGAAGTTCTGCACCACCAGAAGCCAGAGTGAAAATTGTTGACGCCCAAAATGGCTTCTGAAAGTTAGTTTTAGCTTCTAACTTTATGTATTTTCCAAGAATACAAGAACAAAGTATAGCACCTCTTAGTTCAACAGACTATAAAAACACAATTACACAAGTTTAAGGGACAAATCTCTTAAACTTTTTTCCACATTCATCCTGGTTGTTGGTTCTTGGAATTTGTTTTCATAATCATATTTTTGAGGCTTGCCACAAAATTATAGGCATGTTTCTGTTTAGTCTGTCTTCTGCACAGCCATCTTAAGAATGTGCTTCACTAAATTCACTAAATATGCAGTGTTCCTCCATGTCGGACTCTTTTTAATCGCCCTATGACCTGTTTAACCGCATCAGTGTTTAGAGTTGTGCTGCACTCCCCACAATGTAATGTACGACAGTCAAGCAGCTCACGGCCGATGATCCAGTGTGCCATAAAAAATGAAAAATATGTAGCACAGGGGTCGGGCACATGCATAATTAAACCTGGGTTTGATATAGCTCACACAGGCGCTCTTCGTCACTGCACAGATGAAGCAGGCTGCAGGCAGAAGGAAAGGCAGGAGCAGGTTCACGCGGCACTAATGGATGTTTACCCAACTCCCTATCAGCTACAGCCACGGTCACATGGTGCTGGGCCATGTGTGTGTCGCTAAATGACCTGAGAGGAGATCTGCACTGATTCTGTTTGCAGCACAGGGAGGTATTTGGTAAAATAATGTGACGTACATTCAGTTATCATTGAGCTTATGTTGACGTAACACTGCAGTAACCAGTCTTTATAAAATTTTGATTACATTTAAAAGGGCCATTGTACTAAACTATTATCTTGTGTATAATATTGTATTTATTCCACATATTGTGTATTTGAGGGGGATCTGTTTATAGTTACTTTTTACAACTTCAGAGTTTTAAGTTTTGCTGTCACAGTAACTATCAATTTTACATTACTGGGTATTTCATGGAGGAAAACAGACGGCACACTGGTCTCATTTTCAGCACAAGAACTGGTTTTGAAATAGATTAGTTGGACAGTTGGCCATAACAGACCTGATTTTGATTGGACCTAAAGCAGTATATTCGATATCAGGACTGATTTGCTGGTTGATTCCTCTGGCTCTTGTCTCCCTCTGCTCTTCACTGCACTCGCCACTTTACCCTCTCACAGTAACTGCCTGAACTGCTTGGCTCCATGTCAAAGCAGGAGCCTTTGTGGCTCTGTCACAAATCTGCCAGAAAAACACAAACCATCTGTTCTGTGCGCCGGCCTGAGCGGGGACAAGAGCGTAAATACAGGAGTTTGGCCCTGGCCTCATCCCATGCTCCCACCTTGAGCCTCACATACAGCCACTCACATAAGGCTTTAGAGCTGCACAAGACCCAGGATCTGCACAGACAGAGATAAAGCCTTATCACCAAAGATTAAACCAATTACCCTGACTCAATCCAGGATGCTTCAAAAATCACTGCAATTATCACCAGATATTATGTCTTTATAACTGGATGTATTATCAAACGCAGTGAGTTTGTATATATCTAAAAACGTCAAATTCAGTCTCTGTTATTAAGCAGTTATTTTTTATGTTGCTTCTCTCCTTTGGCCATTTGACTTAATTGATTAAAAGTGTGAAGTTTAATACTGCACTTTAATTTATTTCATTAAATCGTAAACAAGAGCTGAAAGAGGTTGTCTATGTTTATCCCAATTACAACTCACTGACAACAAGCCTGAATGACGTGTGCCTCTCATCGGATTGAAGTCAATGTAGTTTTGTTCATGTCAAACTCCACATTTGTTTGGCCCGAGTTGATGTAGTAACCATGTGAAGACCCAGTGGCTCGAGTTGACGCCTGGAGAGCCGCGATAGGAGGGTAAGCCCTTTCCTCGTCGGATTATCAAACGGCCAGAAAGCTCTTGCAGATGGAGGCATTTTAAAAGGCCTTATAATACCAGCTTATGTTGTCACTATCTCATGTTCAGCGGAGTGGCGACACATACAGCCGTGATTTACTGAAATTATTGCTCCAAGGCCCAACGCAGTAGCAGCAGGCTCGATTTCTATCAGCTTTTTCAGAGCTGTACTTGGACTCTTTCCACTATTTGTTCTTTGATTTGGTTGAGTACTTTGGAAAGAACAGGCTTTTTCAATGTCTTTTGTAGGTGAACAACAGAAAGTACGAACAAGTACAGAGACAGATGGTACACTGTGTTTTGGGCAAATAACAAAAGACTGTGATCCAGGACATGCAGAACTCTCATTGTATCTTCAGATGAACTAAATTTGTCTCATAGGATGGGACAATATGTTTCATACAATTCCACAGTGAATGGCCAGCCTCCACCTCACCCTATTTTTTTACTTTTCTTTCATAGTTGCAAACTCTTCACTTTTTTCCCCGCCTACGTATGTTTTTTTAATTTTCAGGCTGTTCATATAATCCTTAAACTGATCTTACTGATTACTTCCTATCATTGTTGTCTTAGCTTTAGAGTTGAATAACCTAAGGATCATGCATTCTGTAAAGAAAATTATGCAGAAAATACCACAATATTTTCTGCACTACCACAATACCAAAACTAGATACTAACTTGAGCAAATATCAATCCTAAAAATAATGACATAAACAAGACATTTCTTGATGCACTTACTATGTAAGAATGACTTGTAAACTCTATGGCCCCATAAGTATTATTTTGAGTTTGCAGTTTATTGTCCAAGAAGTACGTTCATAAATAATTTCTGTGGTATTGAAATTTGTATTTTTTTCTTGTATCTAGATTTAGTTTTAAATTCAGCACTGTAGCACTAGTTTTTGAACATACTATTTTCTGCATCCATTGTCAAGGTGCTGTTGCAAAGCTCCCCCAGTCCATCACCTGCACCTGTTAATTGCCATTCATAATTTCCAAGTTAACATGCTCTTTATTGGCGGCCTGATATAAAGCCACTTGACACGGAGTAAGTGATGGAGAGGCAGGGTGACCTTTCTGTGTGTCTGCCAAGCTGTTGTGGAGAGCGTGTGGTTGTCATGCCCGCCGCGAGGACTCATTATACTCCACTCCGCTCTCCACTTCTGATCTGCACATTTCAATTAGATTTCTCCTCAGGACGTCCGCCTTACCCCTGTTAGCACCTGCGCTCTCTTGCTCAACCGTTTGGGGCAAAGTGGAGAGGAAGGGGAAAAATGGGAATAGAGCAGAAAGTTTGAAGATTAAGTGGTTGTGTGCATGCACACATAGAGTCGTGCAATTAGTTGAATCTAAAGTTGTGATTTCAATTTGTCAATGGAATTACAATTACATTAGAAATAGCTATTCATTTACATGTGTGCACTTGTTCTGCACTCAAAACTGGAGTAACTAAAAGTCACAGTTCAAGCACATAACCAAAAGTATCATAATAGTATTAATACATTTTTAATACTAAAAATATAGTATTAAATAATTTAATAATAAAGAGATAGTTTTAAGTATAATATGTTATATTATATTTCCCTAAATTTTCTAAACTGTTATAACAGTACAACACTATAGCCCTTGTTAATGATACCACAAAGTTTTATGTTAGTACTGAGATCAAAATCATCCAAAAACTGATCAAAGAATCTCATATTTTCATTATCAATAGCTATCTGATTTTATCCATACCTTTGACAATCTCTGTTCTGTGCAACACTGAACGTGGATTTGTCATACCTAGAGCTGGTTTTGCATTCATAGTCCATCTGTCACTATTACATTTTAGATCATTGCTCTTAATCCTGGAATTTTTTTGTATTTGGGAGAAGTCCCTTCTGATTCACTTTGCTGCCACTCTTTAAGCCGTGTGGAATCTACCCGTCCAGATGTGCGCTTCTCTGCACAGGGCCTCAGCTCCTAACTCAAGCTGTGAGCACAGGACTCTTTTCCAAAGCACCAATGGATTTTCCACAACTGCAGAACAATTTCATTTTTCCTGAATGTCAAAGAGTTTAGAGGAGCAGTCTGGTTGAATTATCTTGGCTATTTTCTCGGTTGATAAAGCCTTAAAGGTGACTTAATGAACCTACATCAGTTTAATGAAATATGCTTTGAGTCCCTGTTTTTGTGTTCATCAAGATTGTGGTATCATGCCAGCAGCCGGTTCAAATGAAAAGCAGTCTTCCCACTCAGCAGTTGACGATTGTTTGTTACTTGTTTTATGAATGAAAACTAGCCTTGAGCTAACCCTCCTGCAGGCTGTGAGTCCTGCGGGAGCCTTGATCTTACAGCGGGGGTTTCAGGCAAAGTTGGGTTAAGTTTCTTGCCCAAGGACACTACAACAGCTGACATCAGTGGAAGTCGGTGGTTCTCTGATCTGAGCCAATTTCCTGCCTTAGCTTTGCCGTAGCCTCGTGGAGGATGTGAAGTTGTTGCTTAAAAGCCATTAATGCACTAATTTATGTCAAATTTCTCAGTTGAAGCCAAGACAAAAAACAATCAATAGCTATTAAACCTGGGGCTTTGTGGAACAGACTTTAGTGGTGTATGTGTGCCCTCCGGGTCTTAGAGATTACAGGTGACTTAGCTTTCACAACGATCATGTCACATCTTTATGAATGTGCAGGAGAGCAGGAATGTGGCTGTGGCGAATAAGAGTTCGCATTGAGGTGCAAAGAGCTGGCGCTGAACAGGAAACGACATAATTGTGGTTGACTCCTGTCGCCAATTTAAAAGTCTCTGTATTATGTGTGGTGAGGAAAATGGAGTTAATATGCGGAGGCAGCACAGGCAAAGTGCTTTCTGATCCATGATCGCATGTGTTAATGTTTCAGTTGGGTATTGATTTCCTGGCGGTCTTTTGTACACTGGATTTATCCGGCTCGCTCACTGGTGAGCGCACCCTCCGAATGTTTGATTAAAGTTCAATTGACTCTTCCAGTGAAGGGGCGAGGAGCCATTTCACTCCCTATTTGTAGCGTCAAAGCACTGGCTGACATGCCCTTTTGTTCCTATTCAAGCTGCTGCCACCCAGGCTGCCTCCATTGCACTGATCCTAATATCCATGCATTCAACAGCCTCCCCGTCTAATCCTGGGACAGACGTGGCCGCAGCACAAACATGCCTGAACACTGATAAAACCTGGCATGGACTGACCACTCCCTGGACTGCACTTTGGGCATGCATTTACACTTGACTTTTTTTTTAAACACACAATTCATTTCTGTTTTCCAGGGAGAGCTAATCACCTTCTACTATTATTGGAAGAAGACGCCTGAAGCTGCCAGTTGTCGAGCCCATCGCAGACACCGCCGTCAGCCTGTCTTCCGCCGCATCAAGACACGCACTGCCTCCACTCCTGTCAACACTCCCTCTCGGCCTCCCTCCAGCGAGTTCTGTACGTAAATATAGTGCATCTGACCTCTTGAAAGAGTAGGGAAACCTGACAGTCCAATGTGAATTAAGCTTTTCTCCCTCTTCCAGTGGACCTCAGCTCTGCCAGTGAGGATGACTTTGACAGCGAAGACAGCGAACAGGAACTGAAGGGCTACGCTTGCCGTCACTGTTTCTCTACCAGTAAGAGTCATTTACCCCTCTCATGCACAGCGCTCTGTTATTCTTGTCCTGTGATGCCGGCCTGTGTGACAGATGGGCATCAGAACATGTCAGCACTAATTTGATCAAATCAGACATGAACAGCTCACTTTCTCAACCTCATTATCCTCTGCTCCCTCATGCAGCTGGCCCACAGTGCAGAGCCCATCTGACAGTGTTTCTGCCATCAGGGCTGGCTAATAACTACAGCACTGTGCTGTTAATCCACATGTGCTACTGACAGTCTAAACATTCTGTCAGGAATATTTGAGTCTGATTGAGTGCCTTCTAATGTGCTCTTGCTATTAGTGATTTTAATATTTTGTCAAACTGTCCATTTTGAGCTTTTAGCCATACGAACATTACATCTTTAATGAGATACCTGATTGTTTTTGGACTCATCCCTGTTAGAATCCTGAATCTTCAACACTAGCTTACTAACCTGACAGAATCCTCTGGTATATCTGCTGAGCATGTTGTTGTTTTGTTTCTTGTGTTTCCTCTGAGCCCAGTAGATGGCAGTGCTGACGTCAATTAGAGCATAATCAATGTCACTCTAATGATTAGACTGCAAGATAGTTTTTAACATGCTCCAAAACATTAAATGCCAATAATGCATAACACCCCCCCTTAACACTGCATCTAATCTGTGATTTTAAGTTCTTTGCTGTTTGTTTTGTGCAGCTTTCTACAAGGTTGTTTTCTCACAAATGTAAATGCTTTCCTCAGCCTCCAAAGACTGGCACCACGGGGGCCGGGAGAACATCTTACTGTGCACAGACTGCCGCATTCACTTCAAGAAGTACGGTGATCTGCCCCCCATCGAGAAGCCTGTGGACCCTCCCCCGTTTATGTTCAAACCTGTGAAAGAGGAAGAGGATGGACTCAGCGGGAAGCATAGCATGAGGACCCGAAGGAACCGCGGCTCGGTGAGAAATTCCTGCTCTATTTTCACCTTCTCCATCTGTAGGCACTGACATATCCCCAGAGAAACAGCCAGAGAGACAAAAGCACCACACCTAGCTACTGTACAGCCTCATTTTAGCCAAATATTATTTCCAATGTTATGATACAGTGCTGATCTTGTTTAATGAATTGGTATACTGTAACTGAGATGTCTGTAAATGTCATTATTGATGTTTTGAATGATTAATCCTCACAGATGTCGACGCTACGCAGTGGTCGTAAGAAGCAGACAGCCAGTCCTGATGGCAGAGCCTCACCAACCAATGAGGACCTGCGCTCAAGCGGTCGAACGTCACCCAGTGCGGCCAGTACGGACAGCACCGACAGCAAGACCGACATGAAGAAGCCCTGCAAGGTACTGCATTGTGACAGACGGGTGGGAAGAGACATGTGCCCTTTTCTGTGTTTAATAGGGTATTCAACTTTGTTCACCCATTTCATCAAGTATTCAGGTTAAGACTTGACTCACTTGATCAAATGGGATGTCCCGCTTGTTTGGAAAGATAACTTGCATCCACGTCAGCCTTTTGAGCAGTTGAATACCCTTGAACTAGATTCAGATTCAGATTCATTTATTTGCCATTTGCAGTAAAACCACATTGGAAAAACTGTGCAAGACTACCCCAGTGTGCACCAGACAACACACACCAGAGCTCTTGCCACGGAACTATTGTATTTACTATCTTTGCCCTCACTGTTACTGTTTGGCTGCTCAAAGTGTGCATTTTACCGGCAAATTTTTTAACACAGTGAGAATCTTGTGGCAAATAAATCTGACGTGGTAGGACATAATCCTATCTCTCCCTAGTGTCCGATGATCCAGAACATTCTTGTTTTGATGCAAACTAGTGTCTGGTGTAACGTCTGGTGTTGTGAATGTGCAGAAAATTAAGGAGGAGGCGCCTTCCCCCACGAAGAGTGCAAAGAGGCCAAGGGAAAAGGGAGCTTCAGACACAGAGGAACCAGAAAGGGCCAGTGCCAAAAAGTCTAAAACACAAGTAAGATCGTCTTTTCATATTCATTTTATAGAGCACAATTTATAGGCTCTACAAAAACATGTGTATTTGATGTTAGTTTTAACCCTGGCATGTTTTTGTCCCACAGGAGCTGAGCCGACCAAACTCTCCCTCAGAGTGCGAGGGTGAAGGAGAGGGCGAGAGCTCCGATGGACGCAGCGTGAACGAGGAGCTCAGCAGCGACCCCAAAGACATCGACCAGGACAATCGCAGCTCGTCGCCCAGCATCCCCAGTCCCCGCGACAACGAGAGCGACTCTGACTCCTCCGCCCAACAGCACCTGCAGAACCAGCACCCGGCGACCATCCAGTGCCAGCCCGCTTCCTCCGTGCCCACCCCGAACACACCGGCCCCCTCTCAGCCCATGCCAACACCCCCCTCTGCAGCGGCTGTGTCTCTACCTCCACAGCCCACACCTCAGGCCAGTCCCATCGCTCTCATCCAGTCAGGACCTGCACTTCACCCTCAGCGGCTTCCTTCTCCGCACTCGCCGCTGTCTCAAGTCCCGCCAACAGGCCCGTCTGCTCCTCCGCGATTACCCAGCCCGCATCACGGACCACCCATAGTTCACCCGCTGCAGGCCGGACCCTCACACATGCCTCACCCTCACTCTATACCCCCCCAGGGCTTCCCCGCGGCACAGTCTCAGGTTCCTCTCCCTCCCATCGCCAGCCAGTCACAGCAGAGACCACACAGCCCTCCTGTCCAATCACAGCCGTCTTCTCAGAGCTGCGTTCAGCCGCCGAGAGAGCAGCCGCTGCCGCCTGCCCCCATGTCCATGCCCCATATCAAGCCCCCTCCGACCACACCCATCTCGCAGAGCCACAAGCACCAGCCACACGCGTCGTCAGCCCCCTTCCCCCAGATGCCCTCAAACCTGCCCCCTCCTCCTGCGCTCAAGCCCCTCAGCTCTCTATCCACGCACCACCCTCCGCCCGCACACCCGCCGCCGCTGCAGCTCATGCCTCAGGGTCAGCAGCTCCAGACGCCGCCCGCACAGCCGCCAGTCCTCACGCAGTCACAGAGCCACGCGCCTCCCCCTGCCCCCCCTCTGCCCCCATCCGCAGCAGCGGTGCCACCTCACCCCAGTGCCGCATCACAGGCTCCTTTCTCGTCTCACCCCTTCTCCGCAGTCCTACCTCCGGCCGCTCCCCCGCCTTCCACAAACTCTATATCAGCCTTACAGACTCCTCCCTCTGCGGCGGCGTCATCGGTCTCCATGCCGCTGCCCGCCTCCATATCGTGTCCGCCCGCCGCTGCACCTGTTCCACCCGTGCACATCAAAGAGGAACCTCTCGACGAAATGGAGGAGCCAGAGAGCCCCCCACCTCCACAGAGAAGCCCCTCCCCAGAGCCCACAGTGGTCAACACGCCAAGCCACGCGAGCCAGTCTGCGCGGTAGGTCCCTCGAGCTGTGTGCATTTTACACCTGTTTCTGTTGTCAAATAAAACTGATGTCATTAATTTTCTTTTTTCATTTGTGATTATAGGTTTTACAAGCACTTGGACAGAGGGTACAACTCTTGTTCCAGAACGGACTTCTACTTCACGCCTTTGCCCATGTCTAAACTGGCCAAAAAGAGAGAAGACGCTCAGGAGAGGGCCAAGCGGGAGGTCGAGCAGAAGGCGCGAGAAGAGAAGGAGCGAGAACGGGAGCGAGAGAAAGAGAGAGAGCGTGAGCGGGAGAGGGAGAAGGAGGCCGAGCGAGCAGCGGTAAGTGTTCTGTTTGTATTTGGCAGGTTTTAGGAATACTCTTTCATAGGACTAAACATTTCCTCTGTGCCTGCAGAAAGCCTCTAGCTCTCATGAGGGCAGAATGGGGGATCCTCAGATGGCGGGACCAGCTCACATGCGGGGGCAGTTTGATGGTCCACCCACGACCATCGCGGCGGTGCCTCCGTACATCGGCCCCGACACTCCAGCTCTGCGCACCCTGAGCGAGTATGCCCGGCCTCACGTCATGTCCCCCACCAACAGAAACCACCCATTCTTCATGTCTCTTAACCCTGCGGACCCTTTACTGGCCTACCACATGCCTGGCCTGTACAACGCAGATCCCGGCATGCGGGAGCGTGAACTGCGAGAGCGGGAGATGAGGGAGAGGGAGATTCGAGAGCGGGAGCTGAGAGAAAGGATGAAGCCCGGCTTTGAGGTCAAACCTCCTGAAATGGACTCTTTGCACCCCTCCACAAACCCCATGGAGCACTTTGCACGTCATGGCGCCATCTCATTGCCTCCTATGGCAGGCCCTCACCACTTCGCCTCCTTCCACCCCGGACTGAACCCATTAGAACGTGAGCGATTAGCGCTGGCCGGGCCCCAGCTGCGGCCGGAGATGTCCTATCCCGAGAGGCTGGCGGCCGAGAGGCTCCATGCAGAGAGGATGGCCTCTGTCGCCAACGACCCCATCGCCAGACTACAGATGTTCAACGTGACGCCGCATCATCACCAGCACTCGCACATCCACTCACACCTACACCTGCATCAGCAAGACCCTCTGCACCAAGGTGAGAGATAGCCCTGCACACACACACACTCTCATGCATGCACACTCAAACACACACATACTCTCTCACGCATGCACACACGCAAACTCTCACACACGCACCATGTGTTAAATACACATAATCCACTGAACATGTTTCTTTGAATTGTTGTATTGTGTCTAATATTGTATTAAACATGATGCATGAATTAAAGTGATTCATATGTATGAATGATCTGTTGAATGTTAATAGTTATTATAATGGTAATAATATTATATTTAGTTGTGTAGTTGATGTATATTTGATGATTTATAATGATAAAATACTTCTAAAACTACTAATCTATGTATTTCTGTTAGTGTGTGTCTGTTGATGATGAATGCACTGTCTGTATTTACCTGTACCTTGATTCTAAGACTCTGACCGTGAGTAGGTGGTGGTGAATGTCTTGTGTGTCCTGCAGGCTCGGGGGCCCATCCGCTGGCCGTGGACCCTCTGGCAGCTGGGCCTCACTTGGCGAGATTCCCCTACCCTCCCGGAGCCATCCCCAACCCCCTCCTCGGACAACCGCCCCATGAACACGAGATGCTGCGACACCCCGTCTTCGGTAAGTTTACAACTCAATATCATACTGTATTTGTTTTCAATAGATGCAGGCTCTATACAATGCTTATTTGGAAAAAGCTGATTTCCTTTGGCAGGCCTCAATATTGTTTTTACCACTGAATCTGAGAAGCCCCATTTACTTAGATTTCCTTTAAAAGTGATGGAAACCAAGTACCAGTCAATGACTTTGCCAGATCTGCTCTGTTCACATAATTCAACTCTTCGAGCACTAATGGAACGACACTGAAATGCATAGGTTCATTTACCTGGGAATGTGTTTTACCAAAGATTCAGGGAATCAGTTCTGGATCTCTGCACGGTTGACCTTGTTCTTTTTTCAGGTACGCCTTACCCTCGGGATCTGCCCGGCGGTCTGCCCCCCCCCATGTCGGCGGCCCACCAGCTGCAGGCCATGCACGCGCAGTCAGCAGAGCTGCAGAGGTTAGCCATGGAGCAGCAGTGGCTCCACGGACACCACCACATGCACGGAGGCCCTCTGCCCGGACAAGAAGACTATTACAGGTACCACTGTATGAACACATTTTATTCTCAGTCTATTAGGCCAGAAAATATCAATGTCAGTGCTTATGACGGGAAAGACAGTATATTACGCATTTAAGCCAAGATTTGAAGAAATGAGACTATTAGAAATGTTTACGGCTACATCCACCTAACAGAGTAATAACTATAGCAGGATGTAAACCTGTCATGAGCACTTGAAGCATTGCATTTGGGGCTTGTTTTTTGAGATTGAGATGAGTAATTGTTGGATGTTGTTTGTGTTGCAGTCGGCTAAAGAAGGAGAGTGACAAGCAGCTGTAGCTCTGTGGGAGGCGCGCACAGGTGCAGGACACGGGAAGTTGTTACTGATCGCTTTCTTCACACTCATCCAGAAGAACAGAAAAGTGGATCATCTGACAAGTTTTCTTTTCCACCCAGGACTTTTTTAAAACTCTGATTTTCCAAGACTTTTTTGGTAGCCAGTAGTAACAACGTCCTCAACACCTGCATGACAAGCTTCCCAACATTTTAGTTTTTTATTTTTCTTAGGTGCTAGAACAAGACACTGTGCTTATCAACATAAAAGACCAATTAGGTTGGAAAAAGTGCTATCTTAAATTCAACATTTATTTTAATACATTGTCGGAGGTTTTTCATAATTTTAAGAAAGGCTACCGCATGGCGTTTCTGAGTCTGTAAATAGTATATATAAACATATAATTATTATAATTATTATTATTCCTAGGTGTGGACTCCAAACTCAGTTGTTTCTGATACTTGTTTTTGAAGCATTATCCCTTTGTTTCAGAGGGGAGCACCATGGCATTATATGAGCAGTTTCTGAGCAGCAGACTTCACTGTGTTAGTCCCACTTTGTTAAACTGTCCCATCTCGACCTCCTCATGCACCAAGAGGGCATCGCCCGGCCTCGCATACCGAAGCCATTTTAAAGTTTGCACTGAATATCTATAACTTGGGATCTACATAATTTGACTTTTTATCAGTGTTTGACAAAAGAGTACTTCTTTTACTTTCATTCTTTTAAAGGTTTTTTCCACTATTTTAAATCTAAACAGATATTGGACCTGTTTTTATTGCCTCCGTTACACAAGGAGCCTGTTTTAAAGATTGTTTTAACGTGTGAATGAATGACTGCGTCTCATTTCAACCTCCCTGGACTGTTCGACACTGTGACACTGGCGAGGGTCTGAACGTGCGTGTGCGTGCGTGTGTCTGTCGCTGTCATTTGCCTTGGTTTCCTTCGGGATTCGTGCGCCCCTTTTCCGTGATGGGAGGGGCGCGTCTGTGTGCCACTCGACTGTTACGCGTAGTGTTGTCATCATACAGTGCACATGTTTCTGTAGCCATGATGTTCGCTCATGCACTAAGACTGTTTTTGCCTGTCATGGACATTTTGAGAAAACTGTGGCTCTTTTTTGTTACTTTAAACCAAATGAAGAAGTGACCATATCTTCCCTTTGGAGCACTATTTACTTTGAAACATGTTTTATTTTTCTATCAATCCAAAAAGTCTTCAAATCCCTCTGTCTGGCCATCTCTCCTCATCTTCCTCGCCTTTTGACTACGTGTCTCCAAAAGCCCTTCGATGTTAAGTGTTGTCAATGGTTTAGCTTCTTGTTTCAAAGCGGCAATAGCAGAATGTACAATTCTGACTGCTAAGATTTATATATATACTGGTATCTTGAAGCTTATTGTACATATGAGTAGTCGCCATGGGATGACACAATGTAAACAAAAAGTAGAAATAATAAGAAAAATTGTGAGTCCTGTGTTCTCCATTTGAGTATTTTGTAATTTTTTTGAAAAATTTGTGGAATTAAAAATAAACTAAGTTACACCACAACACGCAGATATGTCTTCTTTTTCTGGTTTTATCCCGTGTCTACAGAAGCAAGAACGAAGCAGCTGAGACTGTAGTCCAGCATCAGTGTAAACTATGATTATGATCTTCTCAATCACACACAAGACTGTAGGTAAAGGTGAATACTTCTTATCTTTGCTTTGCTACATGAGTCTACTGTGCAGTTCAGCCTTGTGTTTAAATAGTGATTTACATTTCCTTCAGTTAACTTTAAAAATTGATCTTGGTAATAAAAAAAAAGCCATGTATCTAGTTTCAATAGCTCTCATTACAGTTTGCCTCTGGCTGTAATTATCTCAGGTATAGTACTTCTTCCCCTGTCACAGGCTAGAAAAGAGATTATTTTCAGACAGAAACGTGCATAAGAGGATCACAGCGCAAGCATGTAGACGATTGCATGTTTTCTAATAAGAAATAGACAGCGGGTCTTATTTGTTCACTAATAAGAGATCTCCCAAACCACGCAGATGCATTTTTTGTTCTAGGTTTCTTGATAGCTCAAATATAGCCATCAAAATTGCAGTTACTAAATATTATGTTAAGTAATGCCACCGGCCTAGTTATTACTTTACTTGACTTATACATAAACTATCACCAGGTTATTGTCACATACTTGTTGGTGCACATCTTGTTCATCCCAACACGCGTGTAGAAACGTGTTCCACTGTCTTTCCCCTCCAAAAACAACCCTTATTCTTGGCATAAACACATCTTCAAGCATAGGCCAGGGGAATCTGCAAACATCTTATATCAAAGCTAGACTAACCCATTGGAAACACGTCCACCATAGGCCCATATTGTGCGCTCCTCTCTGCTCGGTGCCATCAGAGCGCACGGCTGTCATCTCCGCCTGCGCGCATGGGGACTGATAGACCTGCAATCTCTGTATGCTGCTCAGGGCCCTGTCACACCGAGTGGAAGCTATTATTCTCTGAAATGGTGGCCCTGTCCCCGGGAAAGCCTCTCTCTCCATTCTATCCTGGGGCTGTCACGTGACTTTGGATACGCTGCTCCTTGTTATTGTTGCCACATCCTCATCAGAAGACGCAACAAGGATATGTGAGGGCGCACACGGAGAGCTGGGGATGGCTGGTTTGAATAATTTATTTGCGTCTCCCCCTTCCTCCTCCTCCTCCTCGTCCTCGTCCTCGTCTTTTCTGAAACCGGGATGAAGCGACTGTGGCTGGTGTCAGCTCAAATCCGGCTCATAACGCTGCGGTGTGTACCCCTCAGGCGGACACACAGGGATACGCGTAGTCTTGGAAAATCTGCCCTGCTTATGTCTAAAAAGCGGCGTGTTGGTTGGTTGAGATATAATGTCTATTGCAGGCAGCAGCAGGTTAGAAAGGGAAAAAAACATCTTGTCCATATACGCTCCAATGAACTTTTGTGCGCCAAAGAAGTGACGCACAGTGGATGAGTGCTTCAGATGGAATGTGTCTTTGCAAAAATAGTTTGCATTTCTGAATTATATTTCAGTCCATGTTCACATATTGTTACATCAAAATCCTATTCGAGCATCTTTTAGTGCAGGCGACTAACAACAGGACTTTTACAGACCTAACAAATACTTAGTTAGGCAATAAATCTTACTAGTTCCTCGCATTGGTTCTACTGAAAAGTGAGAAAGAGAGGCCCACCCTCCTGAAGAAGATGGACAAAGTCTGGGATTGTGTCTTTAATTCAGACAGAAGACATGTTTTATTGTCATGGTAGACAGCACAAACACGAACAAGGATTTTACAAAATGAAAGTGTATTATACAGCATGGAGGAATGAAGTCGTCCAATCAGCAGCTGCCACAGTGTGCTTGTAGCTTCAACATTGAGATAACCAAAACAAGGGAAAGGTACTAGCTTCTGCATATGTTAGAATGATGAGTTAGAACTTTAACCACAGTTGCTTCAAAGTGTCATGAAATCATTACACTCCCTCAGCCAATCATCTCTCAGTCCAAAGCGTCAAATAGTGACTCCCAGGGCTCCTTGTTTGTGCACAATAGATCAAATGTTTTAATGAGACTGTATTCGAGAGACTCTCTGTTGTTGAGACAAACCCAATGTTATTTAGGGAAGAAAAAGTTAGGTACTCCAGCTTTAAGAGTGACTGGACAGGGTCTAAATTCAACTTAAAATTGTCTCACAAATGTGGTTTAGGCCTCTGCATAAAGTGACTATAGCATTACTAAAACTAACCGCTGGAACCAGGACAGTACTGATCAGAGAAGACGCCAGTGGAAACTTTGGAGGAGCTGCAGACGTCAAGATTAAGATTAAGAAATTCTTTATTTGTACCACAGTGGGGAAATTTCAGTGTTGCATCACAAGTTATAGAACAGTAGGAATGAGGAGCACACAGCACAAGTTAAGTGAACAATAGCTACACTAATTAATCAAGTGTGAGAGCTCGAGCTGTTGTGCAAAGAACAATTCTAACCATCAGTGTTTACATGGAGACATAAATGTTGTCGTTATGGTCAATGGAAAACCAAGGTTGAAATCATAGGACATAAAGCAAATGACACATTCAACATGTGGAGGCTGCTTTTCTTCAAAGGAGTGTGTCAGAGTCTTTTGGAAGGTGGGGAGCAAAATAGAGGACAATATTGGAAGAAAAACTAGAGTCTGCAAAAGACTTGAGACTGGGGGAAAGGGTAGCTTCTATTTCCCTGAACATAGACTTTTCATACAATATGGTTGAAAACAAAATATATTAATGCGTTTATAAGGGATGGAGTTTGAGCTGATATGCAAAGCAGAATTTATAGACACCAAAGCTGTTGTAAAGGCAGCGCTTGGGGGGTCCACAGAGAATATATATATATTCATAGATATTGTTAAAAAAATGTTGAAATCATTTTGTATTCACATCACATTTATCTACCACTATAAAACAGTCTGTGGTCTCGACATGTAGATCCACACAGGAGCAGTGCGCCTTTGGAGCTCCTACTGCTCCTGCGTCGATCTATTTCTCACTATTCATGTTTTGGTTTTGCGGCACAAGTTTCAGGATGTGCGTGCCGTGGTTGTGAACAGACAAAACGTGGAAAGGTTTATGGGGTATAAATACTTTTCCAAGCCTCTGTATATCCAGTATTCATCTATTATCATTGACCTTTAAGTATCACTCTTTATCTCTTCATTAAATGCTCAAAATGACCGGTTTGGCCTGTACAGTCTGTGAGAGCCTTTGTTGAGCCGTGTGCCAGGCCCTTCCCCTGAGCTCAGGACAATAGCAGACTCCAGACTCCGTGGCTCCTCTGTAATGTGTGTCGTAAAACATGAAGCTGGCACATGCTGCACCGGGGCCTATGGCTGCACTGTCCTAAACACAACACTCTGATCCCACTGCTTTAGTCTCTCCTTCCTCCTCTGCTCTGGACTCTGCTCTGGACTCTGTTGTGGGGAAATAGTCCTGACATTTCAGCTCTTTTCAA